CTCTCCTCTTCCTCCTCTTCTTCCTCCTCTTCTTCCTCCTCTTCTTGGCTCGGAACCGTACTACTATAACATTTTAAGACGTTCTCAATACTAGTTTTCATTTCTATAACTTCCTCAGAATTCAGTCCACAAAACTCGACACTGTCCGTGCGATTACGATCCGCCGTCGCGTCAACGGCAATCGGACTCCCGCAGTCTTCACTCTCCATATCTTTCTCCATAGCATACTTCTGCACCACGATTACCTTCGCGGAGTTTATATCGCAACATTCGTCATCTGATCGAGAGCTTGATTCGTACAAGACATCATTATGCCGGAAATCAGCCTGTCGCAGAGCTTTCTTTTCTTCCATCAGCGATGGTGTATCATCGTCCTCGCAAGATGAGTCCTCGTTCAGCGTCTTATGATCTTTCTCGTCTGTCGAGGAGAATCGTTTGCTGCGAGATTTGGAAAGTTTATTGAGACAATTATTTATGTTATAAGGATCATTTTCGCCTTCCTTATCCCGCATAGGTGACGAAGAACGGCGATAGTCCCTCGAGCGACAATTCGTGTCGTCAGGAATCAATTCTGCGGTATGTAAGCGCTGTTGCACATGGGTCTGAGACATGGAATTTAATCGGATTGAATCACAGGCGTTTGTACTATATTGTCCCTTTTTGTAACTGGAAGAATTAATATTATTTACTATATTGGGTTCGACTTCCGCGATGAGGTTCGGTATTCCCCGTTCGTCCTCCATCAAGTCATCACCAACATTGGACTCATCCTCCATCTTTGTCAGTCGTAGTGGACAGGCTTCGGTCGAGGATTCGTCCGTCTCGGTACGCCGTCGTGAATCTTCCACGTAAAGATCGCGATTTATCTCCGTGACAAGATGCTTTTGTAATCGCGAATATAGACTCTCTTCGGGTACTCTATCTGAATCCTCTTTTCGATGACTGATATTCGGCACTTCCGCATCTTTCGCAACCGAATTGCCGAGACAGACCGATACAGACTTCATACTAATCTTCCCCTTCTTTGATTCCGTTCTCTTGTGAAGCCTATGAAATTAAAATTACATATATTAAAGTATTAAATATATGATCAAAAATTCAAATTCATCAAAATGATCAAACATTTAATTGTATTAAGGTAGTAAAAGGCTACCTGGATGTTCTGAGCGACTGAGTATTTTTGAGAGCACTCCCGTCATCAGTACTGCCATCGAATTTGCACATCTGTTTGTTACGGAGACTCCTCGTGACGGAAGTCGTGACCGCAGAAGGATGCGGTCGAGTCTGCAGTACGTTCTCGCCGTTGTTGATAGCCGGTTGTTGCTGATTGATATCGGAGAAACGACAACCCTGCGCGATCAGCAACTCGGCATCGTACTTGGTGAGTCCTTTACGTCGCAATTCCTTCATACTGAGAGAATGTGGCGCGACCACTGCATTTCCAACCAGAACTGCATTTCGCTCGGTAAGAGCGGTATCAGCTTGCTGTTTATTCCTATTCAACGGTTGCTGTCGATGTTTGGTCCGATTAATTCGATTATCCGTTTCTCTCAGACGATAACCTACAATAACCGATCCAACTGATGATAAAAGCTGATGATATCGCATTCTTTTAACATCGCATTCTTTTAACATCGCATTAGATTTTACCGGATGACAGTTCCTCGCCTGGCTTCTGATTCGCGAAAGCGCCTTTCCCTCGTCTCTCGCAAGTCTCGCATTCGCAGTAACAATTACCGTCGCCGAAAAAATCCTCCCCGTAGAAACACGTGATCTCTTCGCCCACCTCAATGTCGCGCAACACCTTGACGCACGCCGTGTCTCTTCCCGTCGGCACAAACTGTATAATATCATGAAATTAATAGTAATTCACATAGTAATTTCTTTTTCAATCACATTTTGAATTTCGTGCGATATTGTAATTACCAACCTTACAATTCGCTCTACAGTCATGGTTTATATAAGCAGCAGGCCCTAACCATAATTGGGCACAGTTCTTTCGACAACTAAACATCACAGAGAAGTCATTTTTTCCAGGATGCAGCAATGCAGCTTCCTCCTAAAAAGTATAGAAGGTTGAATAAAAATAAAGGAAAATTTAAAAATAAATATCATTCTCCTTTTAAAAAAAGAAAAAATTACTCGATCAAATCTTTTCTGCTTTATATATTACTCAAACCTTTTCACTTAGTTCTGCTATGCAACCGACAAGGCAGGAGATTTTCTCGTGCTTCATCCATTTTCGGGTAGCACATATCTTAGCACCCTTTTGTCCCTCTAGGCTGTATCTGTAGCACGGCTCTATCGCGAATCCGGAATCCTTATCAAAAACTCGCAAATATCGCTTGATCTATAAAAGAAAATAACTATTATACACATAATTTACATTGTTTGTATAAAACAACAATATAAATTTCTTATAACTGGGCTTAAAATTGTATAGCGGCATTATTATCATATTTAACTTACGTGATTTTCTAAATTGATCTGCTGTTGCTTAGATTTTGTATGAGGAAGTCGTGCACCCCAGTCTCCACCCATTAATTTTTTATATGTTTTCTCATAATTTTGAGTTTGAATAAATTCGCAGATAATTTTTCGAAGTTCATCTTTATTTGCCTTTAATGGTCTATATCTGTTGTAAAAAGATAAAATTTTAATAAATGTATTGTTAGGATAGAACTTGTAAATGTATATGTTGATCGAAAAAGAAAAAAAAAAAAGAGAATGATTCCAATAATACCTGATATTCATTTTATGGGTGGTGAATCCTAAGTAGGGATCTAGCACGAGAGACGTGGCCAAGTCGTCATTGTCAGAGAGCTCTTTTGGTGTCATTCCACATCCTCCACCACCACTGTTCGGTTGCATCTTTGCACCAACTGTGCCACCCAACCTTCGCTCCTGCTTCCTTACTGCAGTTGCTGAGGTCTGGATCGACAGGCAATCCACCACCATTCTGCGACACTGACTTTCACTGGAATACAAAATGCTTCTGTGAGAAAAGATTTGTTTTTGTTGTAATATATATATATATATATGTGTGTGTGTGTGTGTGTATGATTAAGCTTGTTTTTTTAAATGGATTTATAAGTTAATGCATTTTGAATTTAAATCAGAGGTTAATGTATTTCTGTTACACAATCGCAGAACAATCAACTCTATTGAATAGGTTTGGCGGTGTATAATATATAACTATTGTTACGCATCTAACTTGCTTGATCAATTAACGGGAGCAACTGTATTGAAAAAACTGTCATTATATTCAAACCTGAATCAAGCTCGTTGTAGACTCTTAACAATAACCAATAAACAGACTATATGATACAAATACTACAATATACTGAACACATTATCCAAGTTTTAATCGACTATTCTATCCGACCGAGACATAAGATAATGAAGAGAAATCTAGCAACGTTTCTCAAAGAGAGAAATATCGCACTTATTCCTTTAATGTAACCTTCTCAGCTGTTATTGAAACGCCAAACATGGCAAAACTGCCTCACTAAATGCAAGCAGCACGTGTTTGATTTTCTCTTCTCCGACACTATTTTCGTATTCACATGATTTCCCCTCGATAATATCACCAAGAGGAGAGGTATCCTCGCATCACACACCGAACCCGAGAACGAACCAAGCCCAAGTCGAAACGAGCCACTTGTCAGGAAAAGGGGGGGAGAGAGAGAGAGAGGTTGCGATCGCGCGTCGTTCGTGATCTATTCACCCGAATTCGTTATCGTGGCACGCGACCATCTCCTGGAACGATCCCGTGGGACGCGACGAGCGGCGGCGTCGTTTCGCGATCGGCGGGTGCGTCGGTGCCGTCCGTCTCCCTCGAAAGTCAGCGCCACGGACGGGACGAACCACGTCGGGTGCCACCGTATCGACCGGAACACGACGGTCTATAGATGCGCGTCGACATAACGGTCCTCTCTCGCCCGCGGTCCTCCGGACTCCGGAGGACGATCGCGGCGTGCTCGCCCCCGTCGTCCTCGAATCTCTCGGGAATGCCGCCGTAAGCGAACGGGTTTAATGGCGGGGGGACGAAGAAGAGTCAGGCTGCGCGTGCTAGTTTAACGAGAGAGGGAGAAACAAGAGACACGGACCGCCGTCGTCTCCTCGACGACGACGATATCGTTGTTGTCGTCGTCGCGAGTTACTTACCGCGAGAATGCTCTCCCGAGAACGAACCTCTCGCATCTTGCGGTCGATCGGGCCCCTAAAGCTAGAGCGGCGCAGCGACGTGCCTCTTGTGTCGCGACCGAGACGCGCTCGCGGCGGCTACCATGGCAGGATATATTATCCGAACGAAAGGATAATCTCCGGTGGATGGACACGGCACGGGTGCGACGCGACGCGACCCGCAGCGTACATGCACACTTTCCTCTCCGCTTTGCTTTAACAGGCCTGCGTGCGTACGCAACGTGCGTTCTCTCGTGCGATGCTCTTTCC